ATTAAGCGAATTAGAAATGAACGCAAAAGAACATACAACTGTTTATGAAATATTTTCCTTTAAATATAAAATTTTATTACAGACTTACCTTTGCCTGTGGAATAAGCATTAGCAGTATAATGACACAGAGCACAGTAGTTGCATTCATTAAAATGAAAAAGAACTACAATCATGACTGATCTCATTTCCTCCGTTACAGAAGCTCCGTCCAGTTTAACGAAAATCATTGTTAAGTGAAAACTCATCCTGATGTTGAAAGAGAATGAACACAATACTTCATCCTCATTCATTACTTTTTCTTCTTTAAAACTGAATCGGTGTGTCGCCTCATTAAATGCCATTGTTCATTTTATAAGTTCTTGAAATCATTTGCTGCATAATATTTATTTGGCTGCTTTGAAGTTATTGCTCCTGCTAAATAGAGGGCTGAGAGTCATTTTGTTTCTCATAGGCTTATGAAATTTACGACCTCGCTGCTGCTTATGGAATTTTTCCCTCAAAATATCAAAGATCATTGTATAACGTGGATAATTTGATATCAAAGGCTTGGTGGACTTCAGCTGAATCTACTTATGAACCATATTTAAAGGTAAGACTTTGACGTAATGTTACTGTCAGTTCTTCGAGCCGCTGAATAATATATTCGATTCGTAATGCACACTGTATTTTCAGATATGAAGCAAGTTTATAATCGCCAGTGATAACTCTACAACAGTGTAGTTGTGTGGATTTCGCCAATATCCGCATTGTCTAGTATCCTTATACTTTAGTTCACACTCTGCTTCAGAGAGGACTAGCTCACAGAACGGACAGTTTATATATTTTGCCACATTTTTAAGTTGAGCCGCTGACACTATCGTATAATTTATTTTACGTTATTTCGCCTCTGAAGAGTATTTCAGACATCCCTGACTTTTTTCTTGACTGCTGAAGCCAGTTCTGCTGCACGATTGCCAAATTTTCCTTTTCTTCCATAGGACAATCTGTTTATATATAGGCATGCACACATAGCAATGTTTCATGATATTACTTGAATTCTTTACGCGCGTAGAGAATCTTCAACCGTGATATTCTCCAAAGGAATCGACTGAATTGAATTAGGATTGAATTTCCCCTCAACTTGACAGCTTAAACTGCGGTACGTATTAATGATTCATAAATTCTAGCGACTTTACCTTACGATCATTTCACAGTATGTAAGACATTTACAACTTTGTATATTGTACTTTTGCTGTTTACTACCCTTGTGTTATGTCCCTGATAATGGACTTGGTTTGATCCGGAACGTCGGTATCAGATTAAAGCCTGCTTTTAGGGTTTCTACCATATGACGAAGGCATTCTGCAAGTCACAAATAATAGGCATGGCCATTATTACGAAATAAGATTGGAAGTTTTTTCAGTTCCTTAGTAACAAGCGCAGCAGTAGATCAATACTTTCGTGCCTAAAAGGGTAATTTTTGCTTAGAAGCTGGTACTTCATGATTTTGATAAAGACAAATTTTCGGGAGCATCAAGACGGATTTAAATATCTGTTGTAATGTATTGACTTCCTATTAGCTAGATTCTACCCACCTTGTGCTTTATAACGATATCAAGAAAAGGCAGCAGGTTATTAATTTCTTGCTCAGAGGAAAATTCAAATGCTTGAGGACATCTGGCAACTAATTAGCAGAAGAGCAAGAAAAGATTTTTTGATAGACGATAAGATTATCATCGATATTGACTTTATATTGGGAAGATAAAGTTTTGATGCTTTTTTCTTGAAAGGATTCACGTAAAGTTTAGCCGGTACTAATTGGTGAACTCATCGAAACCTCCTGTTATTGTTTGTAAATGGCATTGTCTAGTTTAACAATGGTATTGTTTAATACTGTGACTAAAGACTGATATCGGCTTACTGAATTAATGGCTGGTGTGAAGCTATTCATTTCTCGCATAAAATGCGTAATTGTGACCGGGAGAACTTCCAAGTCAATATTT